CCTAAATTGAAACGGTGTTTTTAAAAACCTACTGCTTCAGTTTAGGGCCCCCGTTTTGTCTACACACATTTGTGAAAATGCAAAGTAACGGTATGCTCTAAATGTAATACTACATAGGAAGACAAGATTCTTTGGGTAGATATGATATCTTTTATTAGACCAACTAAATAGTTGGAAAAATTGTTCTTTGCAAACTTTTGGGCACAAACATCCTTCTTCAGGCATATAGAGAGTCTACTGGTGAATTGTGTGCTCTCCTGGGTAGAATAGAAGCCAAAATACCACATAGGAGACACCGAAAAACATAATTCCATATATCAGCATAAATAAGTAGAATTAAAATGCCAGTGGTTTCATTTCAGCTTGTGGAGTGTCAGATCATGTATTGGAAGACCTTGGTCAATCTCAAAATATTGTTTCAATTTTTTTTCCCTTTGAATGGACTTTACTGAAGTTTTTAGCATTAAAAAAAAATCTAGCTTCACTGAAGGGATTATCAGGAAATAGCCAGCTGTTAAGTTTTATATAGAGGATGGAGTGTAGTATGCCAGCATAACAGCCCATTCACTATAACATCATCAGTGTTATGGGTTTCAGTGAGACTTGAAAATTGAGGCGCACTAATACAATGCGGAGGACAATTAGTTAATTTGGTTTTAAGCCCAGAGAATTTTTTATTAAACTTTTAAAATATTCAAATATTGTGTTTTCTTCTCTTAAAGAAAGTGTTCTGTAAACTAGCAGTGGGAAGCGCAGGGATTGCTACATCAAGGGTGTGTCGACACATGACACTATATCACTGTAGCAATGTACTACTGTGATGTAGCATCCATGGGTGTCTACACAGGACCGGAAGCTACTTAGCCATAGTGGTACGCTCCCTCATTATATCATGTTGCTGTGGCAAAGTGGCTACTAAACATAACCGTGTGCCACACGTACAGCACAGCATGGACAGTTACTGTGCCGTGCTTTAGTCCTTTTGGAAGGACTAAAGCATAGCACAGTAACAATGTCACTGTAGGGCAAATGCACTCGAATTGAAGGAATGGAGAATGGGAAGACTGGATCCTTGAAAGTAATCCAACAAGGGGGTGAGTAGGTCAGGTGTACCAAGTCCCTAAGGATAAAGAAGGGCACTTAGGGGATGATCAACCAGGCAGCATGCTATCTCATCAAAAAGGATGGAGTCCTGGATTGAGCTGCCTTCTCATGAAGAGAATGGCCTGAGGCCTTGTGAAGTCAAGGGGTGCTATTCCTGACCGTCCATCCCTGAGTCCTTTGGGAATGACAGTTTTCTGGATCCTTCCCTGTGCTAGAGAAAGGACTCCAAGGTCTTACGGTATGGGGTGTGAGTGGGGCTGTTTGGTAAGACTGATTGAAAGAGAGGTCAGTGTGCGGAAATTGGGGCAGTGCTCAAGAACTGAGGCTCAGGGCCTACTTTTGCTGTAGTTGAGACGGCAGAGGAAAGATTTGGACATTTGGGGTATGACTAATAGTTAAGATTTAAAGAAAAGGTTTAAGTGCACAGGGAATAAATAGTGACAGAGTGATTAAGTCTGTTTCCATCATATCACATAATATAGTGCTAGTGCATCATTCTTGAAAGTTGAACAGCAAGATTTGAAATCAGAGTGCTTTAAACTCCAGCAGCATAGTAAGAAGAAGCAAATTACGATGCATCTCACAACTGTACATTAATTTGCCTCATACCTTTACAGATGAGCCAACTACACTGGACAAAAATAGCATAATGCCATTTTATTATAGTTATATGGTAACTTTCAGACAAGTGGGGTACTTTTTCAGGTACTCACTGAGAGTTTGAGGAAACATAGGTCCACATCCACTCTCTGAAATTTTATAATATAAATAGACTATTAAAAATAGCAGAGAGAGAAAATGTGTTGTATAAGCAAGGTGGAACAAATGTGCTTTTAGCTCTCACTTAAAATCAGATGCAGACTCACTCAATAAGATAAAGACCCTCATAGCATCCATGGCCCAAGTGAGTGGAGTCTGAAAAGGGAGGCAAATGACATAAGAGCAGAATAAGTGGGGGAAAAGGGACAAATGAAAAGTTCTGACATGGAGTGGAATAAATCCATGGAGGGTCTCATCAATAAACCAAGTGTGGAAGAATATCCTTAGCATGCATGCACACGCACACATTTAGCAAGAATGAAGAGTAGCTACCAGCTCTTTGCTACAAATTGATTTTTTTGGTAGGAAATGTTTCCTTTTAATTTGTGTGGTTCAAAGGTAGTGTTTTAAAAGCGGGCAGGAGAAGAGAGCATGTGTATGCATTATTGACTGAGTCATCTTTAGAAAAGACAGTTGTACTCCACCACAGACTTGGCGTGTTCTTATTATTTTGTTGTTATAACCCTAATTAGGCTGAGTAAACTCCTGAAAACTTAGATAAAGGAGCATATGACAGGATTTCTTTAAATACCCTTCTACTGGTAGGGATAAAGGAAGGAGAAACTCAGCTGGATGGAAGAATATTTATCAACTTTCATCTCCTGGTGTGTGTGTGTATACAGGGGCATACACAAACACTTGGGGGAACAATGAAGAAGTTTGGCTACTTATGACATAGCCAAGAGAAATTCAAAGAACAAATCACAAATAAAGACTTCTCTAGCTTTCTCAACCTGGTCCTGATGTAGTCATCACTGATGTCCCCAAGCAGTCTCTGTAGCATATTCAAATAAAGCTCTTAATAATCAAACCTTCATATAAAGTTTCACAAATAGCTGTGCACACAAATTATCCAAGACTTTGTTCAAGAAAAGGTTTTTGTTCTTTGTTCAAAAAGAAAAAGAAAATAACTTGTTCTAAGACAGGTGTTCAGTGTTCTTCAGGAGATGGTTTCAGTGAAACAGTAGCATTTGCACTAATGGCATAGAAGTGACTCACTGTAGCAATGTTTAGTAACTTTGCCCAAATTTAAAGCATAACTAAACCACCAATGTTTTTGTTTTGTTTTGTTTTAATTCCCTCTGACATGAAAGGAATAGCAAAAAAATTGTCTACTCCATTTCCTTAAACACGTTCAAAATAGAATCAAGAATGTCAGGGGTAGGTTTAAAATAATTTTATCCTTTTTGTGAATCTCAATACAGTAATAGTAAGAGATGTTCCTTTACCTATAAAGACCTTAGTGATAGGGTCATTAGTTATTAGCAATCTCCAAATAGTTCCATAAAGAGTGAGCTGCTTCATTAGTACAGGATTAGAACTGAAGTATCTGCTAACAGCTAGATCAAACACTCTTTAGAGCCGTGCAAACATAAACCACATTCTTGGTTATATAAATAGAGAGATCCATTACCGGGCAATGATTTCTTCACTGAGGATAAGGACCGTGTTATTCAAGAAGTGCATTTTTATAAAGTCCTTAGTGCAGAAATGATTAGAACTAGACATCTGCTAGTGTAGACTCGGGGCATATCCAGACGAGCGCGCGTGCATAGTAAGTATACATATGCAGGTGTTCCCTGTGTCAGAAAAACCTGAGCCAAAAAAAAAAAAAGCTGGTGGGGGCGGGAGGGCCCAGCATGCTCCACCTGAAACAGGATCCTGGCCAGCCAGAGCCACACTCCAGCTGCTGGCTGGATGGCTGCAGCTGGAGCCCCAGGAGGCCCCCAAAACCCCAGGTAAGACTGCTGGGACCAGCCCAGGTGCTAGCCCCGTCCTCCTCTACCCCACTTGGGGCAACTTGCCACACAACAGAGCGTGCATGTACAGGTGTTCCCTGGGGACAAGTAGCAGTGACACAACTATGTGCCACTGCTATTTGTCCCTGGGGAAATGCATGTGCACTCTTGTCTGGACACACCCATAGTGAGCACTGGATCAAAACTTCCATATGCAGCAATTTGACAACCTCTTTAACAATAGGGGAATGCTGAAGTGCTTTGCTAATTCAGGATTGATTTAATCTTTCACTTAAGTAGCTTGCTGGACTGGGACCTAAAACCACTGCTTAACTTTAAGTCTATAAGCAGCAGACCACACAGGTGATCACAGCTATGCAGCTGCTAATGTGCCTTGCTGAATCGGATCCTAAATGCTTACATGTAACTGGGTTGCTCCAATATAATCCTTGAGATGGGACCAGTGTCTTTCCTCGAGAAGAAAAAAGTGCAAGGACCAAGGAAGAGATCAGAGGTTGCTGATCACCATGAACTTCTGTTAGAAGGCTCCTGGGCCTGTTAAACTCTTCTCTCTCTTTCATGAGCTTAGTGTATGCAGTATAGTGTAAAGATACTGGAGACAGCTCTAAATGAGATGGCCTGGGTATTAGATGTAGGCTAGTCACAGCAGGCCAGTGCTTCACATGGGCTAATTCACCTGCTATGTGGCTAGACTGCTTCAGGTGCAGTGCTATAACAAGGG